CCCCAAAACCCCAAAACCCCAAAACCCCAAAACCCCTTATTTTAATTTAATAATTGAAATGTGACATTTAAATCTTTGATTCAAAATAGAGTTTGTTGCAGTTTAAGCCATCCCAATGATCATCTTGTCTTCTGGATACTCTCTGAGGATCTTTGCTCTAAGGTACTCCAACAAATCAGGGTTCGAGAGACCAAGAGCATCCTTAATTGTCTTTAATGATTCAGCTTGCTGATACTGAATCTTATAGAAACTTTGTCCTTTGGCCTCAGCTTTATTGATGTTGATATTCGAGGCAATCTTAGCTTGCATAATCTGAGTCTCAAGTTCAATTTGCATCTTAGACTTTTCAGCCTCTGCCTTATGGATGTCTTGTCTCTTTACTTCTGTTTCCTGGATAGCAACTTCATATTTATCAGGAAGGTCAATACTCTTAAGTTGGAAATAGTCTACAGTGGCAAATCAATACTGAGCGAATGTCTTGTTTACAGCTGTCTGCATTGAGTGAGTAATCTTCTCCTTATCAAAGAAGAACTGAGATGCTTTATACTGAGTAGCCACATCGGTTAGAATATCAATAGCAATCTTCATTCAAGGAAGTCTCTCTTGTTGTCCATATTGCATATACAAGTCATAGAGCTCAAGGGACATATAGAGGTACTGGAATGAGATCTCAAGTTCTACTTCAAGTCCGTCCTTTGTCCTTGACTTAACACTTGGAGCATCCGATCCTCTGCCCTTTGAAAATTCAAAGGTCTGAACAGTGGTAGGATACTTTAAAAAAGAATGACCAACCCCTAAGAAATGTATACCTGAAGTATATAGATCTTTGTCGACACTCTTAGTGATTCCAGAATAATTTAAGCCAACCTCATTCACTTCCAAGGATCTGAAGGAGGTGAATATTAAGATTACAATCGCTATAGCACCTACAATAAGTGCTCCTGCTCCAACTGCAAGCGCAGTAGACATAATTAATTATATTAATTCAAGAGTAGACCAGGGGTTTTGGGGTTTTGGGGTTTTGGGGTTTTGGGG